TTAGTCTAAATTGGATGATCTGATTGAAATAAACCAGACATTCCACAATTCATTGCAAATTAAATAACAACCACGTCTCGCACTATAACAGTCCTGTCTTCTATCCCCATCCTCACAGACATGTTGGTGCTTTCCTGCACTGTAACGTGCAGTAGTAAGGAGGTGTGTCGTGGCAGTGCAGAGGAAAAAAATGGAAGAAACCAATTTAAAACGACCATTTAAATGGAAATGAAGGTTTGAGAGTGTTAGGAGTGTAGTAGTCTGAAAGCTGAATGTCCAGCATAAGGCTAGAGGGAGATGTATATTTGACCATCTGGTGCTGAACGGCAGGAGGGGACTCCTGCTTGAATCCTGTTTTTCCCTCCCTCTGGCTGCACCTTGCACATTATATCCAGTATTTTCCAGACAGATAGACAGCCTGCAGTTATGGAGCCCACTGGGATTCATGCAGCAGGTAGAGATGGAGGTGCTGCTGGTGATGATGGGGTGTCTCTGGATATAATTGGCTGCAGGGATGCACGGATCAATAATGGCAGCCTCTCACGGGGCGTGTTGGTGCACATATAACAGAGATATAGCTGCAGCTGGTGTTTTGTGTCACCAGCGTTGCACGCTTGCCTTGCTCTCTCTCTGTCTGTCTTTCCCTTTGATTGTGAGGAGGGAATGTGTTTGCATGAATGGACATCAGACATGGAGCCCAAACGCTGTGTGCGCGCACTGAAAGGCTGGAAAGCAGGGAGCTCTTTGTCCAACACACGGCCACTGCTTGGATGGATAACACCAACTAATTACATTTATCCATTTGTGGTTGGCACTGTTGACTAAATGCTGCTTCCATACTGCTGCTGCTGAGTGTCTCATTAGGAGAAACAGCCACGGCAGCCTTCTCACGACCCAGAAACCCCCTCTATATCTCTCTCAGTGTGAATGTCCGCTGGTTATTTCCAGCCCAGCCCTTCAGCACACAAATCATGAGCAGTGTGCTTAGAAACAGGGCGGATGTATGAGATTACTAAAACTTGCAGTGCATCTCCTGGAAATCACGCCAATAAACGCAGAGCTAATGAGCAACACGTTGAGTCTGGGAGAAAAAACAACAACAACTCCATCCATATATTATAACCTGTGCACAAGTTATGATTGGTCTGCAGTTCTTATTGAACATGTCTGTAAATTTCTTTTAAAGTGAGTAACAGCGATCCGTTTTGAGCTGATAAGCATCAGTGTTTTGTCCCTGTAAACACTCCATAACAGCAGCGGGCCTGACAGCTCGTGAAAACACATGATCACGATGGTTTGAACGCGCACGAGAGAGTGTGAAGCACAGACACGAGCTGCCTGCCTGCATGAGCTCCGGAGCCGCTTACCTTCCCCGGGGCAGCAGCGGTCCTGGAATCCGAGCACAGCGCGAGGGAGGCCGGGGATGCTGCCGCCGCTGCTCCCTCTCCTCCTGGGGGTAGATGGGTGGATGGAAGCTTGGATGTTTTCTGGCTTTGTATTCAAGGTTTTTTGCTCCAAAACCGAACCGACACGCAGCCGGTGGGATGAGGCTGGAGAGAACAGCGGGCAACGTGATCCTGAATGGTAATGGCTGTCCTATTCCTCCTCCTTTCCCCCCTCTCTCAGTCTCTGCTTCTCTCTCTCTCTCTGCTCCTCTCGCCTTCAGCAAACCCCCACCAGCCCTCCTCTCCCGGTCCGCTTTCACACACACACAACCTCTCTTTTCTGTTAAATAGGCAGTTTTCACGGCTACGATACTTAACCCATGACTACTGAGTGTGTAAGTGTCGCGGAAATTGAGATTTCGGGTGTATTCCTGCGTCATCTGTGGCTCAGCAGCACCGCCAAACCTGGACCGAGGCGCGCGCGCGCGCACACACACACACACACACACACACACACACACTTTCTCTTAAATCTCTTAGAGAATAGGGAAACCACAGGCGTTCACGGTGGTGCATTTGCTCCATTCACATATTTCGGGATTATGTAAAAGAAGCAGCGCTTGATCTGGTCCGCGCTTTTACGCCACATGCGATCGTATTAATCTGGGATTTTATAATCCCTCCATACTACCATCGCCACCCCTCCTCTCCCTTCTCCAAACAGCTGGAGGAAGGCAGGGAGTATCTTAAAAAGCAATTGATTACAGCTGGAGGAAGGGAGCGCAGTGGAAAGCATTGGGAGAGTTTGGGGTGCCGCTCCCAGTCTTCTGGGAGGAGATCCTTCACAGTCTGAGCTGACGCTGGAGTCCCGCATTACTCATTTGGAGAAAACTGGACTCCTGGAACAGACCGGACTTCACCGCTCTGTATCTAAACATATATAATTTAATTAAATAAAAGGAAAAAAAAAGGATTATATGAAGGTATCTCTAATATGAAACCACAGAAGATCAACACAGATTCATGCAGTTATCACTTTGGCCCCATGTGGCATTTTCATGTCTTTTAGCTCACTGATTTGGGGTTGCCAATCACTATCATGCTCCAGTTTGCCTCCAGAAAAACACAAAAAGGCTGCAGGAAAAGGCCTCTAAAACAAATGAGTCTTCACCTGATTTAAATGTCTCCATCCTCCCTTTCAAGATCATCTTCTCATGCAGCTCTCGACCATGTTAAACACTGCTTCTCTTTTTAAATTGCTCTGTGGAACTTTTTGCCGCTCTGGTCTGGGTTCTGTTTCAATCTTTTCTTTTCACTAAACTGACCGTCAGGTTGCATGTGATGATAAAAGCTAAAGTCTGAAGTGGGGTGATATATGCGGGTTTCATTAAGGAGCGTACTGACCAAACTGTAGTGGTAATGTTCAGTGCAGTGAGTAAAAATCATGTTTTTTAAGGTATCAGTGTATTTGGCGCTCAGCCTGATAAGACGTTGGTTTAAATCGGTACCACTGTAATACCTGGATGTATGGCAGGTTGGTTTGTCCAGCCACTGCTGCAGGATAATCCCAGTTTTCACCCTCCCTCCGTCACAGCTGATCAACCCGGTCACAGAAGGAGAAGCACAGCTGGATTATCTGCACTGCTGCCAGTTTCACCAAACAGCACATGAACCACCAGCTACACAAAGTGTAAAGTTCACTGATCTCAAGATTCTTTCACTTGCAGTTAATTATTGACCAATGCTGAACTGATCATCGTTACATTGTGTAAAACGTTGTTCACAGCTGGAATGTTGTGATAATGGGAAGCATAAATCATTTCTGGAAATTTTTTGCAGCGCAGGCGGGATTATCTTTAATTTCCAGTTTAATAAGGCCAATCTGGATTTGAACTGGAAAACAGTGGGACCAGCTGCTTTCAGAGTGTGTGACTCAGTCCTCATGGAAAAACATTCACCCACACGTGAGGACAAACAGTCAAAACCTCAGAGGAGGTTGGTGAGACTTTAACACTCTGGGGACATAGCTGAAACAAAAAGATAGAGGGATACAGAAGGTATCAAGCAATCATTGTGACGAGTCACATTTCTTTCTGTTACAGAAAAAAAAATCTACCATGTTTGACCTTCAAACGACCTTAAAAACAAGACCTGATGTCAGGAATATAGGCAGATCACTGGTAAACTAAACTCACTCAGCTTTGGTATAGAAATCTTAGAATCAGTGTGCGAAAAAACATACAAATATAGCATAAACTCATCTCCATGTCACGAACCATGAAACCCCCCACCATTAATTTTGCAGAGGATCTGACCTCTGTGTCCTCACTGGTGGCTACAGGGATGCATATAATTAAATCTCACGGTGGAGTCTGCATGTATAAAAGAACCAGAGGACGAATAAACAAAGAATTACCATAAATGCAGCCATGAAACTCGAGTGGGTTGAAGAAGAAGTGCCTGGGTGTAAAATCTGAGGAACCTGAGTGTTTTATCTGTGCTCCTGCTCCATCTTGTGGTGGCTCATGAAGCCTCCTAACCCCATCAGCCTGATTTAAAGGCTGCTTATTGACTCAAGGATGTCAGGGAGCATCCATTCAGATCTATCTCTCATCAGGGTGGTTGAGCTGTCCCTCGGGAGCACTCACTCACTGATCCACAGTACACTTTACTAAAATTAGGTCAGTGGGTTAAGAAAATAGACTTCACTTTAACTTGCACTTATATTAAGACACCGCAGAGCAGACTGCTGACTACAACAACTGGAAGGGCAGTAAATCATTTCATAGAAGTCAATAAAGCAGCTGTGGTGAGGATATTAAATTCAACAACTGTTGGTTTACTCACTGCATCACTCACAGGCCTGACTTTTAATGCAAACATTAAATTCTGATTTAACCAATATTCAGCTCAACATTAGGGTTTAAGGGCTAAACACACAGAGCACTTTGGAAAATTACAATAACAAAAGATGAAGGGTAGACCAGCTGTTACACGTGCACATTTCAAACCATTAAGTCTGACAGCTTCCTGGAGGTTTTTGAGGATGCTCAACTGGGAGCAGACCCAGAAGTCATCGAAGAGATCATATACCTCCTCTACGTAGCCAAACTGCAAACACAGAACTGCATGTGCTATGTAACTTTTACAATAATAAAAACTGTGCTGCATTCAAATGTTTTAGGAGCATTTAGTGTTGTTTCATTAATCTTAACCAGCTCGCAATGTGTTTTTAATAGACACTTTGCTTGTGTGAGTTTTGCAAAGGAGCTATTCCATATAGTAATAATAGATGCTCTGTCTATTAGTGTAAAATAGAAATACTTAGCACCTCAAATTCTAGTCTTTTTTGTTTGCTGTTGTTTTGTGTTTGTATTTGAATATCTTGCTAAAATCAAGCGAATGCATAACAATGTCAGTTTACTGGACTGTTTTTTTCTTATTACAAAGTACTGAGTTTGTACATTTTTGTGAGCCTGTAAATAGAACCAATAAATTTAAAACTGCAAATGAATTAAGATGAGAAATAAGATGAATCCATCTCCTCAAACACCCTTATATATAGTGTAAATTTCAGAAGACTATAAGGAAGATAACAGGAAACGAGAAGATGACGACAGTGGGTGATAACATTTATTTGCAAACTTGTACAGGTGAACAGGAAATAAGAGATATCTGATTGGCTATACACAAGAACAGAACTGCGGACAGCTGGATGATCCTTCATGGAGTCTGTTCAGCCTTGCCTGTGTGGTGGCTCGGCGGCGTGTATTTCCCCTCCTTAATCAGCTTGTCGCGCTGCTGACGGATGGCATGCAGCCTTTCGTGCTGCAGGGAAGATGGGGAGAAGAGAGAGAGATATAACAGGAATTCAAAATAAAGGGTGTTCTGCATCACCTTTCAGTTCCAAGTAAAAAAAATATAGTTCTTCTGCCACCATCTTTTACTCCTTGCAACATGCGTCACTGTTAAACACCACAAGCTTTAGCTCCATTGGCTCTACAGTCCCTACCACGGGTCTGTAAAAGCAGCAGCTTCCTGTCCACATGCACTCAGCAGAGATGCAGGCATTCCTCTGAGTGATGTTCTAACATCTCAAACGGCCTGTTTTAATGAATGCTGATGCTAAACTTTGGCATAAAGATGCCGCACAGTTAATCTTTAAAACATGTCCTCAGTGGAAGCAAATCTGACGTGAAACCTTGAGGCCGAAGCGGACATGCATCTTGAATCAGCACTTCATCCCACTCCATCGTGTTTTCAAATGATGACAGACGGCTAACAAGCAAAGAGCGAGAGTCTGAACTTTGTGCTGCTGCTGCACTTCCACCCAGAGCTGTCAGTCTGTCCTCTGCTGACTCCTCCACTCTGTCAGATTGGCTGACTTCAGTTCAACTACATTACTTTGCAGATTTGAAATGGACGCTAGTTTTCCTTTCACTTTTTAAATAGTTTTCTTATTATTCAAACTCTGCATGACAATCAAGTCATTTAATGCCACAAAGGTTAACAGAGATGCCAACATGTCAAATACTCAGGCAAAATAGGCTGGTTTGTTGAATTAAGTAAGTAAGTAGAACTTTATTTACATAGCACCTTTCTAGATAAAAGATCACAAAGTGCTTCACACAAGGGTAACAAAGTATAAAACAAAACAGACAACAGTTAACAAAATGCAATTCTAAAAAAATGTGTTTTTAGTTGTTTTTTTGAAAGAAGCCACTGAGTCCACAGATCTTATGCTCAGTGGGAGAGAGCTCCACAGTCTGGGAGCCACAGTGGCAAAAGCTCTGTCTCCCTTCACTCTCCACTTTGTATGGTGAATGATAAGTAGACCCTGGTCACATGACCTAAGAGACCTGCTTGGAACATAAGTCTGTAGAAGTTCAATGATGTAGGAAGGTGCTTGACCATGAAGAGCTCTATAAGTCAAGTACCAGAATCTTGAAGTGGACCCTGAATTCGATGGGGAGCCAATGCAGCTGTATTAAAAACGGTGTCACATGTGAGTACTTCGATGTTTCGGTCAGAAGTCTTGCTGAAGCATTTTGAACAATCTGCAGACGCTGCAGGGAGTTTTTATTTAAACATGTAAACAGTGAATTACAGCAGTCCAGTCTTGATGAAATGAAAGCATGAATGACAATCTCCTGTCTTTGCTCCTACGCAGAGATTTATATTAATATTCCAAAAGGAGTCAAAATGAGGACAAATAATGAGAAAGCAGATGGCCACGTCACAGCAAGCATAATTGACTAACAGCACATTGATTTTTCCCCCCCCAATATAAAGATAAACTGTAGTGAAAGTGCTCTGTCCAACAACACATGGGCTGTCATGCCAAGTGTGGTGTGGAGGAGGTGAGATTCGGGTGATGTGTTAATTTTTAACAGTTTGAGAGAAGATTCATCCTCTTAATGGAACTAGATATAACTTACGGTTCTAGCTTATTACAACTATCCTCTAAAATTAGATTACTTTAGTATCTAATCGTTATTTCTGATAATGCAGCAGCCGTTAATTAAACCAGTGCAATTTGCACAGAAGCAGTCGAGTATGAGGAGTCAGATTACCGTCTTCTGCCTGTGCATGCACTCATAGAAGTCCTCAAACTCCAGCTGGCACTCCTTCTTGGCACGGGTCTGCCCGATGCCATGAGAACATTCGATCCACTCCTTCTCGAAGGCGTGGCAGCGTGCCGCCCGCTTGTTGGGCTGCTCTCCGCTCTGCAGTAGCAGCCAGCGGTCCAAGTTGATACCAAGCCGCGACTGCAGATCCACGAACGGCATGATGCTGAACGAGGAGAGGCACAGGACCGAGAGAGATTAAAGTGAGGCAGGACAGGGCAAATTTTATGTTTTTAATTTAAAATGAAACTTAACAAATTAAAACTGGAATTTGTAAGCTGGTCTAACTGAACTCTAGACATATCAGTAACTGTAATCACTGAATAACTTATACCAGTATAAGTATACAGGTATTTGGATCTAAAGTATTGTTTATCTATAAAGGCAGAAGTAAGGATTTTAATAAAAACTAAGCACTCATGAGTTTTTAAATATAGCAAGCAAAAAAAAAAGCAAAAACTCAAAGTGATAGAATAAAAAACGAGTTCAACTAAATCAACCTAAATTCTGCCCAAATCAGGGGGTTGTGATTTAGTGGTATTAGTGATGAAACTTACAATTACATATCAAATGTAAGAATAAACTATAGTAAATAACAAGCTCCTGTAAAGTCCTTTTTATATACTTTTGGACATTATCCCTTTCTCTTCAACTTCTCTCAGCCAAACTATTAAAAAAAAATATACAGAAAAATGAATAAAAATAAGGACAAATTAAAAAACAAAAAATTTAAATCCCAAAATTTTGTATGTTTGATTCTTTTGGCCACAGTTATCTTTAAAAATCTGCTACTATGACAGCACTACCCAGTTTAAAGGAGGACAGTAATTTAAGTATTTTGTTTCTATATCAACAACAAAATAAAAAGCTGGCTATTTAACTTTTAGTGTTTCATTATCTTTCAGCTGTTGGATCATCTGTCTCTCTCTCTCTCATACAAGCCCTCTACATGTCCTCCTTTTACTACATTCGAGCTCCGTCTTCAGACAGCATATCCCCTCTCTCTTTTCTGCACATGCCCAAACCATCTCAGCCTTGCTTCTCTAACTTTGTCTCCAAACTGCTCAAACTGATCTGTCCCTCTGATATACTCATTTCTAATCTTCAACTCGACCATCTGTCTTTTTGATTAACCAACCATCGTCCAGTCACAGCAGGTCTCACTACATCTTGCAAACTTTCCTCTTCACTCTTTCTATCACAAATCAACCCCCGACACTCGTCTTCACCCACTCCACCCTGCCCACCTTAAAAATATAAATGCTCAGACTCACTGCCTACACTACAAGCAGACTAATCATCCTCACATCTCCACAGAGCCATGGAAAAAATCTGGACTCTTAGTAAACGCCAAACTGTCTGCTAACAGCTAACCGTAGACAGCCCGTCGTAAACATTACAGGAAAAACACATAAAGACGAAAATATTCGTATCTGTAATTAAAGTTAACAAATGTATGAAGTAGTTATGGCTGTTGAAATGAATCCGTTACATTACGATAATATAACCCGCTGCTGAAATCACCCTTCAATGACAGCCACCCATGCTAATCACAGACCGCATTTATTTCACAGTATTTGCTCACTGACGCAATTTTCAAACTTCATTTAAAATCTGCGGTGTAGCAAATACGTCCACAGCCTGTTTACGTGTCGCTATTTCTCGTTAAATGTTTGTATTTACCGTGTTTTCTTCAAGGCGTTTTAACCTTCCTCCGTTGTGCACGCCCCGCTTTACGGCTGCTGAACAAAAACACTGCCGTAAAGTGACCGACTGGGGTGGAAACACATCTGCCCTTCTTTTGCACCACCGCCATCTGCTGGTGTGGCCTCAAAAGTACAGTTACATTTTATTTAGCAATTTAACAAAGCTGTGTTGAAGCAGCACCAAAGTTTAGCGATTTTCAGAATAAATTCGATGATTTTGATAATGTATAATATTAAAGTATAATAAGATATAATAATCCTAATGCAATGTTGCTTTTAAGAGAACTATAGAGAAGATTATGAGGAGTTGCACTGTCTTTCTGTGGCTCTAGATAAAGCATATGATAGGGTTACAAGAGAGAATGAAGCTGCATGAGGAAGTAAGGAGTGGCAGAGAAGTATGTGAGGCTGGTGCAGGATGTGAATGAGGACAGTGAGACAGTGGTCAGATAAGCGGTAACAGTAACAGATGAGTTCAAGGTGGGGGTGAGATTTTGGTTTGCAGTGGTGAGGGACAGGCTGACAGATGAGATCAGGCAGGAGGCTCCGGGGACTGAGAGTAGGGAGCAGGTAGAAGAAAGCCTGGAGAGGTGGAGGCATGCTCTGGAGAGAAGAAGAAGAGTGAAAGCCATTAGAAGCAAGACAGCATACGTGTCTGTGAATGAGAGGAAGACAGATATAACAGGAGATGCAGGGAGAATGAGTAGATGCTGGATAACAGTATTTTTTAGTTTTTCTACATAATAAAGAAATGTGGTAAATGAAAGAAATGTGTCAGCACAGCTCTTAAGGCTTAAATTGTAAGAAATAAATGCATAAAATGACAGAAATAGTTTTGGGGGCTCATTGCCCAGATTGCACTTTAATTATAATTATAGGTTCTGGTAATTCACAGAAGATTTCCTTGTTTTTGAAACTTTGGACTCATTGTGGAAAAACAGAACTTTTTATAGCCGATAATGATCTGTTACTTAATTACTTTAGTGTAGTAGGAATGGCCGTGGGTTGCGTCTCCTTATAAACAGGAAAAGCTGTAAAACTTCAAATAAAGGCTGAAATCTATGCCCTCCTTTACATTTTTCAAAGCCGTCCAGTGGGTCAGATTGGAGTCTTTGCCGGGCCGAGTCTGGCCCCCGGGCCTTATATTTGACATCCTCGATGTACGATTTGGACAATATAAAGGCAAGATGGGGAGCTCGAGGTGCCAGAGCTGAAGATGGTGAAATTATAGTTGGCTTGATCAGAATGGACAGGATTAGATACAAGTATATCAGAGACAAAATTAGAGAGTCAAGTGCATTTGAATAGCAGCACCTGGGTGCTTATCTTAGTCCCATGGTAGTAGCAAACATGAGCTTATTAATGTATAAAGTAAATAATGACAGGGTATATTATGTCATGTGGTGCTTGTTTGAAGTTGTATTTATTGATTTTAAGACCTGCTGAGGATCAGATTATATTTTATTATGTCTGATATGTAAATCTTGCCACAAAACGTCTTTAGTGATTTCACGTCTACACATTTATAAAATAAGTTCATTTGCTCTAATTGATTCTAATTCATAACAGATCAACAACAAGTCACTGCATTGGTGCAACATCAGTTTGTGTTTATTTATTTTGTCCCCAAAGGTCCACAAGTTGTCTTTCACAGTCCTGCGTGTCGATCCCCACACAATTTCGGGGCTTTTAACAGTGACAGGAAATACACAAACAGTATAATAACACTTAAATATTGCTATCTATAAATGCTAACCTTTTCAAATAAGATCAGGACCACCTATATCCATCCTTTAACACTCATTCAGACTCTTTCAGGAAGTTGGGGTTTCCATCCGTGGTACATTCATGTGGTTTCTTACAGGCAGGCAGGCAGAAACTAGTGATAAGTGTAGACCAAACAAAGCACTGCCAAATCACATAAGCAGCTAAATCCATAAAGCTACTCTGAGATGAAAAGGCTCCCGGGTTGATTCCTCACAGGTTCAAGGAAAAACCTGGTGGGGAAACCTTTTTTTTTTCTTTTTTTTCTTTTTTAAGAAAACAGAAGCACAGAGGTGATACAAAGCTAAGAAACAAGTCAAGCTATGATTAAGAAAAGCTTATCGGCATCAGTATTTAAAGTGTTTGGCTCCAGAAGTCACAATGACTTGTATGAATGATTAGAACAACATAAATTACAGAATATTAAAAAAAAGAAACTAAAAAATTACAGTATTTTCATCACAAAATTGATTAAAAACACCTTAAATGTCATTGAAGTTAAAAAATACTGAATGACAAATATGACAATGAATAGATTTTTTTAAGTTTTGGAGCCAAACTCTTCTTTAGTTACATCCAACATAAAAGGCCCTCTGGCAGGTGATTTATTTTGGTTGTACCACAGACTGAAGTAAACTCACTTTATCGCAACAGATCATGAATAGCAAAAAAAGAAGATAAATACAATAATTCAGATAAAGTGCACAAGTGCTCGTTCAAAGAAATAAAATAAAAATAAAAGTGGGACGCACATATACATTCATCGGGAGTTCATTCACACAGACGCACAACACACAACGTTCAAGTGGGCCAGACAGCCAGTTAACACGTCAGAAACCAAAACCTCCCAAGCGGGTGTGTGCTGTTGTGTTGGTCAGCGAGTGTCGATAAGGCAGGCAGACAGCCAATTGTAAAACACTAACTTGGTCATGTGACATACCTCAGACCCGACAGAGTTCTGACAACGACAGGAGAACGCCTTTTCAAGTGTCTGAAGTGAAGGTGAAGTCTTACCGATTAATAAAGTTATTTAATCATTTTTAGGTAAAAAAAAAGTTAATATTATTTTGTGCTAGCTTTGACACTGTAGCGTTCTGCTGTTAGCTAGCTGCTAGCAGACTGTTAGCTGGATTTGCGTCGCTGCATTAGCATGTGTAACCTTAGAGACAACTTATCTTTGAATAGGCAGCCTGGAGGCAACTGTATCGCTTTCTGCATTAATGTAGCTTATAAATAAATGTAACTGAAAAAAAATGAAACCAGCAGGACTTTTTGGTTTTTCCATTTTCCCGATACATTCCTGCCTATAAAAAAAAGCTTCACAGAGCTTTATTCATGAAATGCTCAATGCTTTAGTGCTGATGTGTGGAAAGCAGACAAACCTTCACTCTGGGTTGTCTTTTTTTCTCCCCGTGCTTTTCACAGTCCTTCCAGGATCTGTCATGTCATTGTCAGAACTCTGTCGTTTACTTCTGTAACAGTGACCCTTTTTTAAAAATCTCTATGTCCATTCCCCTCCTCCTCCTCCTCTGTGCAGTGAAAGCGAGATTCAAGTGCAGCTTCATCCTCCAAAGTAAACTTTAACTTTCACAAGTGTTACAGAAACTTGCTGCCCTTTTACGACCGTCCACACAAGGAATGGCTCATGCAGACTCATGCACACTGCAAATAATACAATTTCAAGGTCGTCCGAATATAAATAGAGGAAAAATGTCAAAATAAAGCCACAATAACTGAGTACAAAGTCCACATTCATTCACACGTTTTTAAAAACACCCTCCTCATCCTCGGCAAGCATCCTCTGCTTTCCCAGCAATCACCATCTCTCTGCTGTGCTTGGTGACGTTTCACCGTATTTCATAATTTCAGTTCTCGTGGAAAATTTGTACCTCTTGTGTTTTTTTTTTTCTTGCTCTCTCTCTCTTTTTTTTTTCTTTTTTTTGCTTAAGTAGCCAAGGCATTTTGCACCAAGGAGTAAACATAAATCATCATCTTATAAATCTCAGAGGTAGAACCCTGACAATTTGCTCAGAGAGTAGATTGGCAGGTAGAAAGAGAAGACAGACCAACGTAAACAGATGCTGTCTGTGTTTAAGACGGTGTCTGTGAGTCGCAAAAGCAGCAAACGAGAGATGACACGAGGAAAAAAAAAAGCTGTGACAAGTTTAAATGTAAATGTTCGGGGTTGTTTCTGTGCAATCCTGAGAGCTGCTTTTCTCTCAGACGTAGAGGATGACGTTGCTGTCTGCAGGACAGTGAAGGCCTTCGGTGGAGGGGTTCACAGCTCGGCACGAGGGGGGCTGGGGCTGCTGGCCGGCCGCCGGGTGACAGCTTTTCGGGTGAGGAGAGTCGCAGTCGTCCGACGTCAGCTCTGCGATGTCGTCTGACTGAGTGTCTGACATCTCCAGGTCGCTGCGGATGCTCTCCGGCTGAGCCAGGGTGACGTCTCTGAGCCCCTCCCTGATTGATGTTCCTGGTGACAGCCCCAGTGCCGAGCCAGACAACGCCCCGCCCCTTCTGGAGCTGCAGTCCTGAGGCTCCTCCCCTCCTGAGGCGGTCGCCATGGCAGCACAGCCCGGATGCGGGGTTAAGTCCTCTTCGCTGGTCAGGCAGAGATGGCTGGGTTTGGTCTCAATGTCCACCTGGATCTCCAGGTTGGTGCACTCCCTGCAGAGTCACATGATTTAAAACACGTCAGTTGGTGTGAAAGAAGAAATATCAGATAAGACAACATCTACTGCACAGATTCAGCTCAAATAGGAAGCTAGTGGTAGGGTTCACCTGTAGATTGTAAATAAGATGGAAGTAGCCTCTGAAAAATGAAGCCCCTTTATGGATGTATGGTGAACCTGAAGTTTTTTAAACAGCCAGCAGGGGGCATCTAATCAGTTTCTTAAAAATGTGAGAAATTAGCTGCGCCTATCAGTTGATTTATGAGCTTGGTAAAAAAAAATTTATGAATACATCTCACCTGGTAAATTAAATCAAAATATGATTGAAACAGATGATAAAGTAGGGTATGCACTAGGAAAGAAAAGTGTTGCTCAATAACAATGAGGTTAAAAAAAGTTTTATTCTTTTCTGCCTTAAGATGCAAATAACTTGCTGTAATTTTCCATGTTTTAGAGGCAAAATCCGTCAGGTTACATCACCAGCTACACAAAAACGCCCGCACATAAATGCAAAGCTCAATTTCACAGAACCTGCATGCATGGGTTGTTAAAGAGAAAGATTAGAAACAAAAGGAACACCGATGACTTGCTTTAAGAGCAGCTGCAGACCTTTCTGAAGCGATAAGATGTCATGATTCATTTCATGTTAGTGCCTGTTAAAGTAAAGCTCTATATAATCTAGAGAAAGATCGACACAGCTTTAGAAGACGGCAGCATGATATCATGGTGTAAAACTGCCAAGTCCACAGATTAGTTTTAATGCTGTTATCTCAACCACATCAAATCCCAAATCTGCTGGAGCAGCAGAAGGAGAGAGAAGAGAAGTTTCCTCTCTTACCTGTCAGGTAGAGTGTAGGAGGAGATGATGGATCCGGCCATTCCTCGGGTGCTGGCACAGTCGCTCCCGGCTCCCAGGCTGCCCGTCTCTCTCTGGGCTGATTCTTTGGCAAGTTCCCCTGCTTGAACCTCCAGCCTGAAGCATTAAAATGCCCACATTAGCATTAAACATCAACCAGCATTTGCACAGCATAAATAAAAAAAATTACATTCATTGGTACCAAAAAACAAGCCTTGTACTCTTGAACTCTTGAGCTTTAGTTACTTCACCCCTTCCATCCTCACCTGCTGTACTTGCTTGTGCGAGTCCCCAGAGCGCCACTGGCCAGGGTGTTAAAGTGTGGCGTGTCGCCCAGAGTCCCTGGGGCTACAGAGAGCCCCTCGCTGGGAGAGGTGGTGCTAAGACCGCTGACCGCCCCTTCCAGACTGCTCTCACCGAGGCTCGGAGACTTGAGGGCTCGCCAGGCGTCCGCCACTGCGTGATTGTACAGGAAACATTAGCTTAAGTTTAAAGACGCCAGCAGCTACATCCACTTTGCTGAAAATGTTACCAGCTCAGCGTACCCACCTGTGATTGGCCCGTCGTCCTCATCAAAGTCGATCCGCACACCACGCCCTTTTCCTCTGCTCACACCACAACCACCTCCTCTGCACAGAGAGATGGGCACGACTCCGTACACGTAGGCCAACATGATGGGCACACCGATGCCTGTGAGAGGGGCAAAGCCAAGCAAACACACGTCTAACACCCGTTTGTCTAATTTTAATATCGCTCGACGTATAAAATTTCACAGAAATAAAAAACAAAAAAAAAAAGTGATTTATTGTGTCTTTTTCTTGGCTGTTATTTTGCTTTCACATATGATGAGGCACAAAGAATCAACTGTATAAACTGCAGCAAGACACAGATTACGCTGGTTTCTTCAAAACAGCTCTTGCTTGTTGTGGTTTTGTTGCAGGAATTATGACTTATGCAAGAATAAAGAAAGAAAAAGAGAAGGTGAAATAACACCTTTCATTATCCAGAAACATGCAGTACTTTTCATGTCGCATCAAAGCTCTTTCCTTGTTTGAGGCTATCACCAGTGATGTGTCTAGACAAACTGTCCTCTTTCCTTTCTTTTTTTTCTTGGCCATCATCTTCAAACGATCATGACATATAATATCTGACGGCCCCGTCGGGTTTCTTACCCACGCTGACGGCTGCGATGACAGGAGCGGTGATGATTGACAGGGCCACGCCCCCCGTGATGGCCAGATTCCTTCGGTGACGAGACGTCTTCTTCAGCTCGTAGTGGGCGTGGATCTGTGGGAGAGGAGAGGGACGCACGCTGTTTAACACAAACGCTTCATGACAAAGGAGGAGGTGGTGGTTAATGGATATCTGGCGTTTTGGTGAATCGAAATGACAAGAACGTAAACACAGAAATTATCCAATTCACTGTGATTATTTACAGGTTTTATGATCAACTATAATAACAGCGAATACGTTTTGGGATGTGTGCTGCTCATTTATCACTGTTTTTGTTGTTTCCTACTTGTTTTCTTTATGTTTCAATAGATTTGTAATTGATTTTTAGCTCATAGAAGAGCTTTATTGTCTATGTTGCCATTGCTTGACTGGGATACAAAACAAGCAGCTCTTATTTCAAAATTATGTTGAAATAAGCCGATCTTTGCTTTTCACTTGATATCTTTAGTTCCTCCTAACTCACACAGGAACTCGGCTACGAGTCAAATTTCCCGAGAATCCCCCAGATTTATGTTTCTACATCTACGTGCTTTTTCAGTGTCGGTGGTGTAACCGAGGACATGGCTCTTTTGTATTTTAGGCAAATTCAAAGTATATGAAATATCAGACGTGTAATTCTTGTGTTGCTGCCATGCTCTTCTTGTGGGACAAACACTTCAATCTGCAGCTGCTTGCTAACAAAAACACAGAAAAACAACTATGAGCCCATTTCGCTAGGCCTCATTGAGTGACATTAAAGCAAGTTTTCCCTGCAGGGATTTGCCCCAAATTACCACAGAGGTAATATATTACTCTGAAACTTCAAAGTTTCCTTCTCAAGAACTGAATCTGTGTCGCGACTTGTCGTAGAGGAACAAAGACTTCCTGGAAGGTTATTAACTACCTGAGATGGCACGCCTGGAGAAATTTCAACACGAGGGAAAGAAACAGAGTGGGTGAGCCGCTGCGTAGCTCTCAAACAGGCTTTCATAAGTTTGCAGTTTCATTGTTATCCACAAGAGAGCGCTGTAGTATGTTAATGCACCACAAATCTCCTGACAAACGCCCACTGTCAGTTTACTCCACTCTAAATGAGGGGCTGTTGTCTCTTACTAAATACAATTTTTTCCTCTGACAATAGAAAAGTATAGCCATCTGTGAAAAAACATGACACAGCTGTGATTTACAGGAACAAAAGGAGACTTTAGAGGCTTTAAAAAAGCTGTTTTCTTTTTTATATATAGAATGAATGAGGTTTTTACTTAGAATAGAAAGAAAAAACAAAAGAAACAGAGTTTTTCTACATAAGAGGGAAAGCTTTGAACTAAATAGGAAGCAGAAGGAAATGAAATTCACAGTGTTTCTATTTTACATCGTATGACGCTTTCACACAGCAGCCTAAGTTTAACTACATCTATCAGACGGGGGCAGGACCGAGGTCTGTGTGGAGGTCAGTGTGAATGGAAAGTATCTGGTGATTCTGATGGGATCTGAAAGTGCTTTTCGTCATTTCTAGAAAACTTCTGACGCCGCGCTGAAACTTAGAAAAGATTTTGGTTCTGCAACGCTGTGCATTCCAGATCGTCACTGAAGCAGGATTGTGAAAGAGTGACTGCAGAAGTGCTGCTAACTGTTTAAGTGTGTCGCCACATCTGTGTGGTTTGTGCTTCTGGTTTCTTTAGCTGTGCGGATGGTTGATAAACGTCAAGTGGCGAGACCTTACAGATAAAAAAAAAAAAGGTGCCGCTTGGCGTGAAAGACACTTAAAAATCCACTTTGTAGACAAAGTGCAGCTTTAGATTATAAACAGTTTCACAACATGTTGAAGTTTCCATTTAGAGAGCTTCTATTTCCTTTTATCGACTCGTCTATGAAATACTTCAAAACTGAGTGAGACATAAACAGGAAATTAATTTTATTTTGTAACTTTTAAAAAAGTATCTAGAATTAGAATACACGTTAAATATTGTGTAATTATTTTCTCAGATAACTAATTAACCATGTGTCTGAACAGTGAAAAATGCCAGCCACACGTGCCTGAACCCTCCTGGGCTGTGTAAGGTTAGCACTTAGTCCTGGCTGATCCTAGCCTCTCCCTGTCTGAGGAGTTCAAGTTGCGTCTGTCTGGCTGCCAACGTGCAAAGCAAACAGACTTAGAAACTCATCTGTCCCAGCTGTCATCAGCCCTTGAAATGACTCACTATGTTCTTCATGTTGCCTTTTTATTCTGGATTCTGGGACATTTATTGTTTATTTAATATCATTGATACTTGAAAATCAGGTTCTGTAAGACTGCCACTGCTGATATAAATATATATATTAATTCAGCTTAAATGCACTGTGTAAAAACCTTCTTCACAGTGAAGCTGAACGAGCACAAAAAAGTAAAAATCTAAAGAAAAGTGACCTCATTCATATTTCTGCAGGTTTCTCACCTTACGGCCGACGTAAACTGGGATGCCGATGACCATGGCGGGAACAGCGATGCCTGCGATGAGAGTGATGCCAACCGGAGCGCCGATCAGAGTTCCCAACTGCCACAAAATCTTCTTCTTCCTGCTCCACGGCTTCTTGCCCCAGAAGGTGCAGCCAGATGGACTGATGGAGGGAAAGAGGGAAGAGAATGCACAGAGTTAGGTATCTACATTTGAAGGATCAGACGCAGGTGTGTAAAGTTGAACAGCACGTGTGAGTACCTGAGGTAGTGCAGATCGGAGATCTCCTTCATGCAGAGCCAGCAGAACTCGCAGCCGCAGACGGCACAGGTCATGTGATTGCAGCTCCCGTCGTTCATCTTGATGATGTAGGCGCCACAGCGGGGGCATGGCTTGATGTCATCAGCTGGAGACAAAGAGATGAAATATGAGCTTAAGAGGTGCAGGGACGTTTTGTTTAGTGTGAGAATGTGTTTTTATTCAGTCTATTACGAGGGGAAATATGTCATTTTTTTATTAGAAGATGAGCTTAAAGAGAACGACCACAGATAGCATTTCAGCCTTTTCTAACGCTTCAACCATCAGTTAACCTTTAAGGGAAGAAACTGTGGCACCGCAGGTGTGGATGCAAGTGTTAGCGGTTCTCTGTCTCTTTGTGTAAGCCCCGTCCATATCCCACTAAACTGCTAAGAAATAAGTTGGATGGACACCCATCCTGCATATCAAAGCGTCCTCCAGTCGCCGGTCTTTTACAGCTATTATAGGCATAGAAGGATTAAAACAATAAAACACAATATATGTTTATCCAATAATGATGTGAAACTCTTGATCTTTGTTTTTACTTATTATTGTCTCTGGAGGAAATGACACTACACCCACGGTGTGGGTAGTGTCTGTATTAAAACAAAAATTCCAGTAAATCGTTTTAACACAATGTCAGGTGCAGTTTTTAACAGGAAGTGGAGCTGGTGTGTTGTTGTGGAAAACACCCTGGGAGGAAAACAGCAAACGGGACAAACTGAACGTAACACGCAAATGTGAGGTGGAAAACAGACCCGTGTCATCTCCAAGCAAACAAGTCTCACTGGGATTACTGACCATCATCAAAGAAAGCCAGAGCAGTAGGACAGAAGCACCCACACAATAGCAGGAAATCACAAACGGTACTCGAGCTTGGCTTTAATATTCTGGCTTCATTTCATCATAAGGCCAAACTAGGAAGCCTGTGTGGGTGTCTGCGTCATTTCTGCCTGTCCAAACTAATATATAACCCTGGAGTTTCCAGACCAGTCTAAACAAGTCTCACTTTTCCACATTAGTTTCTCACATCTTTCAACTTTCTTTTTCTTGATGAAAAAGAAAAATCGAATTAGAACTTAAATAACAGAAAAACTCCAAAAGTGCTCTCTTTGGGTCTTTTCCTGAGGGTAATAAGCTCAAACCTCATTAGAGTAATGGATCATTAGGCTCGCTGCGGCACTTTGTCCTCTAATGCATTTTGAGTCAATTCGCTGTGAGTTTGAATTCTGGTTGCAGGGAACGCTCTCTGCTCTTTAAAGGGCATTTTGGCATTTTAACTTGAAGTGACTCTGGCAGATGTGGTTGATGTGTGCGTGTAGGAGTAGTTGTTATTGTTGCTGCGCTCTGTATTCTGCTGACATCACTCTGCTGCTCACTCCCTCTGGTATCTCGCTTTCGTCCTCTCTTTCTTCCCCTCCTCTCTCTTCATCTTATCTCTATATATTTCCCTCCTTATCATATCTTCTTTTTCTCCTCCTCTCTGTGTTTGTCTGAATCCCGTTGACTAAGCAGCAGGTATCAGCAGACAGACAGACAGGCTGACACAGAGGGAGAAGCCTGGAGTTTTTTTTATGAGTCAGTTTCGGGTGCTTGGATTGTTGTCCGTCCTTCTGAAGCGTTGGCACAGAGAGGCGAAACTGGAAGTGGCGAATTAAAGAGAGAGAGATGAGGGCAGCTGGAGAGATTTCCCTAATAAATGTTTAATCAAAACAGGATTAAAGGCGCGCATGCAAGTAAGAATGTTTGCACACGAAGGCTGTTGTTTGTCTGTAGAGATTTTCATGATTGTATCTATTATCACTACAACAAGTATGTTAGGGGACAAAATATACAGTTTTCTTGCTAAGAGCTGGATGATAGGAGGGAGAACCAGTTAAATATGAACCAGCAGCAGCAACGGGAGTTAGCTTAGCACTGAAACTTCAAATTGACCAATTAGCATGTTCGTTGGAATATTTCTTTATTCCATGTAAAACAGAACAGCAGAAGTGAGTCTAAAAATAGAAAACTGGGAAATGAGCTAGCATTCAGCATTTCTAGTTCCCTTTTAGGACCAAATACGCAAGTAACATCCATTCTTTCAATGCTTTAACAAGCTAAATGTGGCTGAGAAAGCTGCTCTGAACATTCGGCTCAGCAGAGGAGTTACGCTGCACCTGTGGCATAGGTACACATTTCAAACATACGGGCTAAGGGCCTGGAAAAGCTCGCCAAAGGCTACAGATCGTCCCACTGGGCGGTTTTAGGAAATGTGACAACTGGAAAAGAAACGGAGAACACTATTGCTACAATATTTAGTTATTTAAATATAAAAAAGAGACATGTTCTGTTTTTATTCACAGTAATTATGAATTAAATGAACTGCCGGTATATTTTAACTTCTTGGGATTTCTTTGCTACAGCTATTTTGTTTTATAATGTAGAAAAATTGAGACTTTTCCTTGAATTAATGAATAATTGCGTAGTTAAACCTCTAGGGAAACAGGTGTGTCTTTTTATATAATGTTAGTATTAGGCAACACTGTAGTTTCACTGGGCTACAATATAAAAAAACCTAAAGATAAAAAACTTACTTCAACTTACAGCTGAACCGTTTCTGAGTCTTAAAAGAGAAATTACTCCAAAACTTTGATCTAATAAAGTTTAGACTGAGAAATGTTTTGGTGTTGTTTCAAATGCAGGCTGACAGGATGCACAGCACCGCAGTCTTGAAACTATCAAGTGAAGAAACTGTGATATAAATAGTGCCTCATGCTTGATTGAACGCTGAACACTTCCTCCAGCGGTGGGAACACTGAGAGCCTGGTACGACTGACGCGAGACGAGTTTGACTCAGCGCTTTGACAGACTGAGAAGAGATGTGACAGAGACAGACAGAGACAGAAAGTTCTCAGAGGTGTGAAAGTATTTTCAGGATGGAAACGCTGGTGAGAAGATTTTATCTGCCTGCACAAAGCGCGCAGACATCCGCACACATCCCTCTTTGACTCTGTGTTGTGTCTGTGATTGACACTGGTTTGTGAGGCTTCAGGTACTCACCGGGTCCTTGCTCCTGCGTGTAGCTGGGCGAGTGGTTGCTGTGGGTGTGCAGAGATTGCGCCCTCTGCTGGCGGGCCGAGTCGCAGGTCTGGTTGGGGTGCCAGGCCTGTTTGCAGTGGTAGCAAAACTCCGCGCCGCAGCCTTCTCTGCGACAAACCAGCCGGGGACAGCTGGCACAGCCCGAGGCGATGACGGCGAACCTGAGAGGAACAGACGGAGGAGGGACGTTCAAACAAATGAGTCAAATGACAAAGTCAGAAAAGTTTTGAGGCCCTAATTGGAAAATAATAACGCTCAAGGCGGTGTTAAGAAGCTCAAACTGATTAAATGGGTTGCTGGTGCTGTTGATCCCACTGAGAATTAATGTCCCAAAATGCTGGGCCATATGTTTGAGTCTGAGCAATTCCCCCACATACCATCCACACCTATAACTGAACAGCCATGCGTAACCTGCAGAGCACAAAATCTGCAAAAACACAACATTAATACTGCAAGCCACACTTATCCCTTCGCACACCCATCCACACTTTAAGCTCTTTATCTGTCGCTCACAACAACACATTGAGGTTTATTTGGGGTACAGGATGTTACTCAATGACGCTTCAACTTTTGCAGACTGCTCACAACATCTCTTCGTGCTATCTGTGAACATAGAAAACTTGGTGCTAAACTTTGCTAAAAAAAGAATTACAGTGTGTTTTACAGTCAGCAGTAACAAGTGCTAAATGTGGCCATTGTAACACGTCACATGCGGTTTGTGCTCTGTCTCTTTCTGATGTGACAAACAAAAACGGGGACTCTGACTGAGAGACGCTGCACACATAAGAGTCTGTTTGACACTAATTTAAACCATTAGGCTTTAATAAAGAATACTCCTGATTAGCAACTGAGGTCATAAACGTGTAGAAAGGGGATAAAAAAACCTTCTTAAAGAATCACACTTTTTGCAACACAAGTAGTCTCCCCCTGCTGGCCATTGAAAGCAGTGCAGATTTAACTGTCACAGAATCGCCATCAGGCTTTTCAATACAGTCCGAGGTCTTGATGCGCGAGTCATTGGTGCATTTTATTTTTGCAAAGATGATTTTATGTCTTATTGATCTAATTTAAATCTAATCTCTTAACAAAAAGAGCTTAACTTTTGCCTTTATTCTGAAATATTTAAATTGAAGTTGGCAGAAAAATCAAGCTGCAATTTCGCAGCGGCGACTAATGGACACATTACGTAGCCTAAAAGCCCTCTGTAGACTGAGAGGAGAGAGAAGATTTGATCAATAGAGCAATCACTTACTAACATCACTGAGAGAGAAGGGAAAAAAGATGGGATGAGGTCAATCGATACGGATTTCACAAAGTACGATAGTGAGAATAGAGACGGAGAGCAGCAGAGTGCTAACTGGGAATATACAGCTGTATTGGAGTAATGACACAAATGTGTTTCGCAGTAAGGCGGTCAGATTGGGAAACCAGCCGTTGCTTTGCGCTAATCAAGATCGGAACTTGAGGTAGAAATAAACCTCCTAACTTCTACAGCACAGTGCAGAAAACTTAAACCACTCTTCATTTCTTTATATCTTGCTAAGAAAAATGGGAAAGATGGTACAGAGATGAATCAAAATGTGAATACATGAATGGAAATACAGTATATGAGGCAAAATTTTTCAGCCCAGCTCTTGTGCAGTTTGGTACACCTCCGCCTTTTCTCTCTGTTCCTTCCCTTTCCTTAAGAATGGCTTCCTAACAGCTAACCTCCCCGAACATCATATTAACTGAATAGTGAGATATATCACTCAGATGCTGTGTCGTTTTTTAGACCTGCTACTTCTTCTTTTTTACACCACTTGTCTAGTTTCCTCAAATTTTCTTAAGGACACACTGCACACCCTGCTGAGATATGCCTACTTTTCAGCCAACAGCACCTCATTGGTCCAAAAATACTATTTTATGCCTGTCAAACTGTTTTTTTTTGGCATTTTATATTGATTCAACTAAGGAAATTAGAACATATTTTTCTTTTTGTTGAGTTTTGGGCCTTTTTTGTGCTTGAATGATTCATAGATTAGTTTTAAGGAAGCTTAAGAATCATAAAACATTCCTCTAAAAACAGTCAAGTACAAGGATTGGACTGAAAATGAGTGAAAAAGTAGCCAATGTACAAAGAAATACTTTGATAAACTTTCAGAAAATCTGGAGAATTGTTATTCAAGACCACTTCAACACTTTATTCTAACTTAACCTTTCCCTTTTTATGTAATGACGGTTAAGCAGCACACGTTTAAGGAAATAATGTTAAATATAGCCAAAGCACGGCACGTTGGAGATGATGAGGACGGAAATGAAAGAAGAGTGAGATACTGAGATAGGAGCGAGCGTCAGTCACAGGAGAAATCACAAAGGATGGCTGTCATAAAAGACTGTCAAACAGAGAAGAGAAACATGTTGGGGGAGTGCAAACAAAAGCAAGCAGGGATTTTAAAATAATTCCCTCCCTGAGAAAAACAAAGGTTCTGCCACTTTTCCACATGGTAGCTGTGCTTTTACGTCCCTCTATCGAGAAGAGGAAGAACGTTGAAGAAGCGATAATGCGACAAACTTGTAATTGTTTTGGCATGCCTCCAACACGCCAACTTCAGCGTGTCCCTCGTTACCACCTCTGCAAGCGGTGTGACAGGCCTGCTCTCAGGACTGAATAAATTAGCAGATATCTGAGCCGACAACAGCTCGCTTCCCCGGACAAGATCAGACAAGAAGTGGCATTTCTGCAGAACTGCAGAGACACTTCAGCCTGCATCTGTTGAGACGTCGGCAACGCTTCCATCTCCAAAACATTTATCCACAAAGATTATTCAGAGTTCATCTATAACAGTAGTGCAATATCTTAAAAACTACCCACATTGATTTCATGCTGGTCCCTTAACTGGCTTAATGTTTAAACAAGTGCATAAACTTTGGATCTAAATGATGCAAATAAAAACACAGACATGCTGATTTTGCATTTCTTTCAGTAGCATCAGGACTCTGGTTCGAGGTCTCCTAAACAGCAGCAGAACAGCAGAGAATCACATGAGTAATAAACAAGCTCGGTTTGTTTACATTTTTTATAACTCAGTCTAGTTGCTACATGAAAAACCCCCATTTGTCCTCCACTGGGAACCTTCCTACCACTTTTATAATTTTCCTGTGTATTTTCAGTGGTCATACACAGAGACGTGTTTCCAGGAAGACAAACAGTCAAGAAACAAAGACCTGCTTTCACCTAAATGCTACTGCTAGCAAGTATTTACAAGGACAAAATATTCCAGTTTGGAAATATTTTTTTTTTCAGGCAACGTGATGAAACTGGGAAATGATTCCTGTAGAACCAACAGGTGGATGGTGGGGCGGTGGTGGAGTTTAAACAGCAGGCAGCAATGCAGGCAGGGGGAAAGATCGCCAAATTGGAGGGGTGTGATGTAATGTTATGTACTTGAATTGCATTGCAGCGATTTTCTAGTCTCACTGGCCATTCAAAAGGCTTTAACCGTACACTCGCACAGCTCTTGAAATACGTCATCTAGCTCACACCCACAGACTGTTTGAAATCAACATGCAAGTGTTCGGACTGTGGGAGGAAGTACCAGGAGGAAACCCACGTAGGCTCAGCAAGAATGTGCAAACTCCACAAGGAAAGGCCTGGAGGTTTGAGCTAGGAATTGTCTTCCTGTAATGCAACAGTGCTAACCGCTGTGCCGGCCCAGAGGTGTGTTTTGATATTTGATGTGAGGAGAGTGAGTGTGTTCAAAGCTATGCCGCTTGAGTTGACTGCTTGAACTAGCTTTAGACTTGCTCACATTAGTGAAGGAAGTAAGGTTGCTCGCTTATTTGCAGGGGTCACCACAGCAGATGGACGCATGTTTACATTTGGCACTTCCAGACAGCACGCTCCTATTTATCCAGGCTTGCATCCGGCACCAGGAGTATACTCTCCTCCCAGGGAACTTTCACGTGTAAGGGAAGTGTATTAACCTGCACACCACAGACCCATTGCAACAGGCTAAAATTGCAGTGGCAAGTTACTTTGTTGCCTATCAGTACATGAAAGGCACATGTAAGGCACATGAACTCTGGATGATAAACTACATTTTGGCACTAGATTACAAAAGAAAGGCGTTGTGCGGATTTTTTTAGTAGCTTGAGGCTTGTGATTTTTCCTAAAATGAGAAATATTAACCTTATGATTGCGCTACAGTAGAAGGCAGAGCATCACCAAAGCGTTTGAACACAGCGAGCGTGTGTGCACGGCCTATAAAGCGTTTCTTTTTACAAGTAATTTGTCCTCGGGTAAACATCTGGCGCTTTAACTGCTAAATACAGCACAAGTCTAAACCTGTCCTTGACTCAAACAAGCCTACAAAACTGCTCTTTTTCTGGCTAACTCTGGACAGGCTGTGGCACAAAGTGCAATTTCATTTATGGGACAGATGCCACGCCAGCGCCGTCTTTTTATTGGTGTATTCTGATGCAGCGCAGTCAGCGAATCAGGACTCATGTTTCCAGGGTGGAAAATGGTTGGGTGGGGTTGGGGGGAAACCACAGACAGAATGGGACAAAAATAAGTAAAACAAAAAGGAGATGTGAGATAGGCTAAAGGGGGCATGTAAGATCACGAGCTGAGATGTAAATCTGTAATAACACATGACGGAAACAGAGGAAGAGAGGGAGGAGAAGCGGGGGAGTCATAGGAGTGCTAACATGCTGAAAGGAAACGTGCTCAGACACTCCTGTCAGTGTTCGGCTTCAATGGGAACCACCTGGGAGTGAAACCCTTAACCACACACGCAGACACATGCACAGCAGGAACCGGGATAAACCGACACCAGCATGAAGTCATGGCTCATCAGTCTGACTCACACAGATACACGAAAAACACGAGTGTTCGTTACATCTCAGTCCGAGACGAAGGCACAGAAATTCAGTCCGGCGACTATGTATTGATCGGTTTAATTAAGTCCCAACTCCTGTTACCCTTGGCAACGCTCCTTTTATGCCGCATCGATAGTCACCATGGCAACTGACAGCCAGGGACAGTCTTTGTTCTCACTGGATGCTGAGGTCTGACAATCAGACGGGTCGGGTCCTCATTGGCCAGATAAGAAGAGCGGGTCAGAGGTATCCCACTGTGATATGACGGTTATTTAAAAATACAAAAGATTCACTCAAA